CATAGATTAGTTCCTGAAATACTAGTGTATGTAATACATAGATTAGTTCCTAAAATACTAGTGTATGTAATACATAGATTATTTCCTGAAATACTAGTGTATGTAATACATAGATTAGTTCCTAAAATACTAGTGTATGTAATACATAGATTAGTTCCTGAAATACTAGTGTATGTAATACATAGATTAGTTCCTGAAATACTAGTGTATGTAATACATAGATTAGTTCCTAAAATACTAGTGTATGTAAAACATAGATTAGTTCCTGAAATACTAGTGTATGTAATACATAGATTAGTTCCTGAAATACTAGTGTATGTAATACATAGATTAGTTCCTGAAATACTAGTGTATGTAATACATAGATTAGTTCCTAAAATACTAGTGTATGTAATACATAGAATAGTTCCTGAAATACTAGTGTATGTAATACATAGATTAGTTCCTGAAATACTAGTGTATGTAAAACATAGATTAGTTCCTGTTTAGCTTTACTAAACTGATCAGATCAATGGTTGTTGTACAATAAACATCTGGTAAACTGGGTACAATAGCTTTACTAAAGTGATCAGATCAATGGTTGTTGTACAATAAACATCTGGTAAGTTGGGTACAAAAGCTTTACTAAAGTGATCAGATCAATGGTTGTTGTACAATAAACATCTGGTAAGTTGGGTACAATAGGTTTACTAAAGTGATCAGATCAATGGTTGTTATACAATAAACATCTGGTAAACTGGGCACAAAAACTTTACTAAAGTGATCAGATCAATGATTGTTGTACTTTCCAGGAAGTTCGGCTCGTGACGCGTTAGCGTAGACCGAGTAAGTAACCAAAACTTTCCCGGAAGTTCGGCACGTGACGCGTTAGCGTAGACCGAATAATTAACCAAAACTTTCTCGGAAGTTCGGCACGTGACGTGTTAGCGTAGACCAAGTAAGTAGCTAAAACTTTCCCGGAAATTCGGCACGTGACACGTTAGCGTAGACCGAGTAAATAGCTAAAACTTTCCCGGAAGTTCGGCACGTGACACGTTAGCGTAGACCAAGTAAGTAGCTAAAACCTTCCCGGAAATTCGGCACGTGACACGTTAGCGTAGACCGAGTAAATAGTTAAAACTTTCCCGGAAGTTCGCCTCGGGTAAAGTTACCCGCTTCCGCCGGTACTGATTACTGTAATTGGATGTTGAAGTAGGAAATCTGAGAAAAACTTACCAAGTATTCTCAACATTTTTACTGAAACCAAGTCCAATAAAAATAGTTGTGCACTTTTGTAGAACTGACAGGTCACAAAGATAGACATTCTCAGATATCTTGTGGACAGGAAACGTGTCCGTCGAAGGAGATGCAAAACATGCGATTGGTAAAACCGGTCTGTCTTCTAATACTTGTAGCAGAACCTAGAAATAAATATTATACTTGTAGGCAAAGATCGCTTGAGGTGGGAACGTCCCCTTCATTCTTCGAAGTAGGAATACATATAACTGTCCCCATTTTACAATCGTGATTATCAATAATGAGGGAGTCTCATAGGTTGCTCAGTTTTTGATAACAGTCAGAAAAGGATATTACCCAGATCTCCTTCTTTCAACCAATGGGAAACTTCGAAACCATAAACATGACTCATTTGTTGTATTATTATTAACTTAAAAAAAAGAGAGACATTATATTCAGTTATCTACAGAAAATCTGTTCTTAAATAATCTGCCATCAAAGAAATACAGAGTAGATATACCAGCGAGTACGTTTAAAGTAAGTTTCCTGTTTAAGTTTCTACACTACGACATAGCGAAAATAAGTTTTCTCAATCAGTATCTACATTGACGTCAAAACGGAAGTAAGTTCCCTAAATTATTCTCATTCCGAGACTGAGGAACTGGAGAACCTACCTTGTAGATCACACTCAAAAACTGGAGAACCTACCTTGTAGATCACACTCAGAAACTGGAGAACCTACCAAGTAGATCACACTCAGAATCTGAGGAACTGGAGAACCTACCTTGTAGATCACACTCAGAAACTGGAGAACCTACCCTGTGGGTCACACTCAGAAACTGAGGAACTGGAGAACCAACCTTGTAGATCACACTCAGAAACTGGAGAACCTACCTTGTAGATCACACTCAGAAACTGGAGAACCTACCCTGTAGATCATACTCAGAAACTGAGGAACTGGAGAACCTACCCTGTAGATCACACTCAGAAACTGGAGAACCTACCTTGTAGATCACACTCAGAGACTGGAGAACCTACCCTGTAGATCACACTCAGAAACTGGAGAACCTACCCTGTAGATCACACTCAGAAACTGGAGAACCTACCTTGTAGATCACACTCAGAAACTGGAGAACTGTTATGTCGTCAGTGTAGAAACTGATTCAGGAAACTTACTTCTGTTATGTCGTCAGTGTAGAAACTGATTCAGGAAACTTACTTCTAGTTATGTCGTCAGTGTAGAAACTGATTCAGGAAACTTACTTCTGTTATGTCGTCAGTGTAGAAACTGATTCAGGAAACTTACCTTCTTTTTGTCACCAGCGAAGAAACTTGTTGGACCTTTAGGAGTGACTTTCCACTTTGTGAGGTTTACAACGCTTACAGGACTCATGCCGGAATTATGTAAAAGAACAGTCGAGTTGTCTTCCAGAACAGCAAGACAACTCATTTTGTACACACCCTCTGTTGTATTAGGGGAGGAGCTCCAGATTATGATGAACTCAGTCAAAATGAAATCTAAATTATCAGGTGACGTCATTGTTCTCGTATGGATGGGAGGCGTTCCCTGTAAAATCATATATACAAATAAATATATGATGTGATAGATAACTTGGAACGTCATAAACACTGAAGAATTTTGATCTATTATGTCACTAGTTGTATCGTTAAGTAACTTTTCAGTACACGCTCGAGTGAGTGAGCCAGTTACTCCAACACCCTCTTAAAACTTTGAGTTTGGCTCCCCATCTTGACCAGATTAACAAATGTTTTGCTTTATTGAGCTTCAAAAACGTAAAGCTACACAAGAACTATTTGCTCTAGTCGTATTTAACTATGAATTGATAGACTAGAGGAAAGGCAGCTAGTTAACACCACCAACCAACTGTCGAATAAAGTTTGTCAGACCGAATAATTGGATTTGACCTCATGAGCTCAGAGTCCGGAGTGTGATTTTCCTCTAACAGCAACGGGACGCGAACCAGGAACTCACAGTTTCAGAGTGTGGTAGGCTATCAACTGGGCCTCACCCGGGCCGATATTGTGGGTAAATATGACATTATGAACAATGTATGTACAATTACATACTGGTATCTCTCGATTTACGAAATGGTAACGTTCTTGGAGAACCTAACGTCTAACGCAAAAAAAAACAAAAAAAAAACGTACAATCGAAAATTGTTTTTTCCCATTATTTTAAAGGTAAAAAATAGCGGATGAATTCCTGACCCCCAAAATTTGGCCACGTAACATTTTCTTCCATTATAACATGAGAAAAATACGGTCACAAATAACTTAAACAAAAATCGGAGATAAAGAGAAATTTTCATTAATAAAATACAAGAGATAGTCTACTGTACTCGCCAAGAAAAGTAGATGAGGGTTTGCTTGTTGAGATAACGGGAGGATTAAGAGGGTTACTGGCGATCTTCGGAGGGCAAAGTATTCTTACGACTTTTACGTAAATTTTGGTTACAGCAAAAAATGCGAATTCGAGGTGAAAGACATGCCCATTAAAGTTAATTACGTTATAGCGAAAAAAAAACTACCATTCGTAAATCGAGGATTACCTGTATCAAAGAGAATCATATCCATTATATAGACATTGATAAACTTCTTTTTATATTTATGTATAGACATAGATACTTCTAACTGTGGCAATATTTATTGTTTGGTCTTTTGTGAAACGTTTTTATAATTAGTATGTAGTTACATTCGATGACGAGGAACCCACTTTGAGACTAATAATGGCTGGAGACGGCTTAAATGGGTAATGAAGAAAAACTT